CTGGAGAAAGAGTCTGTCTTCTCTCCCAGGGACGCTGTCAAACAGGAAAAGGCACGACCTTCAGAAAGCTCTCCCTGGCTGTGCTCCGGGATTATGTCTCCGGTTCGGCGGTCAGTAACATTCTAGGAAAGCCTGATTGTTGCCTTCTTCCACAAAGCTCCCATTGTCGCCCTGGCAGAGGCCGGGCCGGAGGCTTAGATCCCTATGGCAACACGGACTGTTTCAAAGATCCCCCAGGAGAAAGGTATTCCAGTTTTCAGGATCAGGAAAAGCTGGGTAACTGATCTGTTTTTATCTCCCCGGTCACTGCGGGTCGGGTAACAACTGTTTGTGTTTTTCTCTTTGTTTTGGCTCCTGGGAAGCTCGGACCAATTTTTTAATCCCATCTCCAGAAACTACAGTAGACCTTCCAGTAAACTCATCTCTAGAAAGTACCTACACCTTATGAAACAGTCTTGTTCTCTAAAATAGCTCTGATTTCATCTCATTTTCTAGTCCATGTGTTCTCTTAAGGATGAATTTAGTGTTGTTTACTACCTATTTTTATAAGCTTCTCAAATGCTTTATGGACCAATGTAAGGCAAGCAATTTTAAAAAGTGTCAGGTAATAATAATAATAAAAAAGTAATTACTAACTTATTGAACATTGCTATGAATGAGGCACTGTCACAGTACTGGACTTACCTTAATTTATTTGCCCTAAATATGAGATAAGTACTCTTATGATGATGCCCATTTTACAAATGGGAAAAGTGAGTCACAGAGCAGTTAAGTCAATCATACAACAAATAAGTGATGAAAGCAAGATTCGGGTTTTCTGAATTATGAGCCATACACAAGAAGAAACAATATTTAATTTCTAAATGAAGCAGAGGCCTTCTGATTTTATAGGCTGAGCTCGGCATGTTTCTTTCATAAGGAGATATCTATTATACATCTTGTCCATACAATGATGCCTGATCAGCTATATCAACAGAAGGCAATGAGACAATGAAAGTCAAAAGGACAAACAATAAAAAAGTAGTTGGCTTGTTATCTCGGGTCATAAAGATATTCTTTCCTTCCCTCACCCAGTCGGTCCCCATCACGGCCAGGCCCGGTGCAGGGTCGGGAGCAGAGGGGAGGTGGGCCCAGGCCTGCCCTCCGGGAGCTCAGGTGCAATAAGGGTGCGGCCGGCAGGTACAGGGCATGCGGGGCTAGGAGTGGGATGACGGCAGACCACACAGGGTGTGACGTGATTGTCTGAGTAACTCTGAGACTCTCTGTCCCAACTGAGAATGGGAACAAGAATGTTAGGGCTGCTGGATGATTTCATACCGATGAAGCTCTTAGCCTGGCCCATCACATGAAGGGTTCCGTATGTGTGAGCCTTTACTCTTCAGGCACAGTGGATGGCAGCCTGCTCAGACACACACATGCACTCACACGCACACATACTCAGACATACACGTGCACTCACATGCACACATGTCCTCAGAAGCTCAAGAGCAGAGGCTGGCTCCTGCCTCTTCGGACCTCCTCCCAGGAGCTGACTTACAGTCCACGGGTGGGCCTGGATGCCACCTTCTCAGAACCAGTGACTTGCCGGAATACAGCCCCCACCCAGAACGAATATTCCTTCAAGATCTACTTGAAAACCTTCCTCCACAGCCTGGCCCTGTGACTCTCCTGGGGTGCTCCTGCCACATCCGCTCCGTTTCACGGTGTCTCTTTGGCACGTCCACCCTGAGGCGCACGGTATGACTCCCCAGCTGCACGGGGGTCAGGTTCCCGCTTGAACAGGTCTAAGGAAAGACCCAACTAGAATTGCAAACTGGCTGAAGCCACCGAGCAGGCATGTGCTGCACCTGCTCGGCACCAGCTGGGAACCCCACGCCTCCTGGGTTTTGTGCCGCGGCTGAATCAAAAAGGAATTAATCATCGCCTCGCCAGCCCCAGCTCAGCCCGAAGAGTTCCCTCCCCGAGTCTGTTTTGTCATGCCGTCAGCGAAGTCAGTCAAACATCACGGTTCCCTGCTAAACATTCCGGCAGCCAGATGGCAGGAACGCTGCTGTGACGAGGCAAAACTCTCCTAAAGATAACTTGGTGACGCACCATCATGCCCGATGGCACTCGGCGGCGCCCATTCACCCAGAGGGACCTCTCCCGCTGCCCCACTTCGTCCCGGTTCTTCAGACCGAACGTGGTCGTTCCAAACACACAACGCTGCCGCGGGGAACTGGCTGGTAAAACAGACACGTCCCTGCTTCTCTAGGCTCTGAATTGCGGGCAGAAGGAGATCACACACTAGGATGCATTTCTCTGTAGATTTCCCTCTAGGTACCGCGTTACCGATCCCTAAAGTTTAAATATTTCTGCACCAGATTTCCTGGGTATTCATAATAACATTTGCTAGAAAACAAGTTTCCTTCCATCTGCTGAGTCACGTTTGTCGGTTTTTTGTTTTTTTTTTAACTTAGCGTTGATGAACATATGGTTATAAATTCCAGACTGTAAGGAAGTTGACTGATCTTCCCTGGTGAAAACTATATGTTCTCTTCTAGAGTTAATTACATTTTGGTTTCTGAGACCTTTTCTAGGTTATATTATGTATTCATTCCTTCTCTCTCCCCGCCCCTCTCTCTCTCTCTCTCTCTCTCTCTCTCTCTCTCTCTCTCTCTCTCTCGTGTGTGTGACTTTAAAATCACAACCTGTACTAAATGGTTTCAGAACAATACATCTTTTAAGAAGAATGCTGCCAACTGGGCCAGCTGGCTTTCTCCTGCTCCTAGAACGGTGTGTTCTTAGACGCACTGCCTCCATCCCTTCTGCTGCCGGCTAACTCCGGTCTGCGTGACACCATCTCACACTGGCAATTCTTTGAAAACAACGGAGACTCCTGGAAAGGAACAAAAAGGGGGCATGGCAGGGAGCCAGCCTCCACGTCTCCGTCACTCAGCTGTCACTCAGCCAGCTGTGCCCTGACTCAGGTGGCCCAAGTAGCCTGTTCATGGTTGCATGTATGGAATTCGGAGTCTGTGGCCCTAGCCCAGTGGTCGGCAAACTGAGGCTCTGTTGACTAATGAGTTTGCCTACCACTGGGATTGGGGCCTAATCACAAGGAACAACGACAGCCTATAATTATTGGAATCGAGGGTCTGTGGTCGGCAAACTCATTAGTCAACAGAGCAGCAAACCGCGGCGGCTCGCGAGCTGCAGTTTGCCGACCACTGCCCTAGCCAGTTTTGCTCAGTGGATAGAGCGTGGGCCTGTGAACCAAAGGGTTTCGGGTTCGATTCAGGTTCAGGGCATGTACTTGGTTGCAGGCTCCTCCCCCGCTCCGGCCCTGGTCAGGTGCTTGTGCAAGAGACAACCAAACGATGTGTTTTCTCACCTAGATATTTCTCTCCTTCCCTCTCTCTATTATTCTCCCTAAACATCAACGGAAAAATAGCCTCGGGTGAGGAGGAGTAATAACAACAAGAGAATTTAAAGTCTGTGGACCCAGATTCTTACTCTGGCTCCTCTGAACAAGGCATTTAACCTTACGACCCTTTATTTTCTCATCCGGGAAAAGCAACAATTGTGTCATATGAGGTGACGCATGTTAAGGCATTTGGTATATTTCCTTTCCTGTAAGTCCCCAAATTTCTTTTGCCCGCCCCCGTCCTTTTATTTTTCCTGATTTGGAGTCTGTGGTTTTTAAATGTCTCTCTAAAATGCACTGGCTGGAATGCGGCATTAAAATTTTATTTACTTTTTTATTGAGGTAACACTTAAGTGCACAAATCTCCAGGGAATAACCATACATTTCGATATGCGTGCCCCCGAGGGATGGCTGCTTAGGCCGAGGGGCGCACTTTCCCAGCACCCCTGAAGCTCCCCTCCAGGTGGTCACCAGGCCTAAAGGCAACCCCTCTTCTAACCTCTATCACCTGCATTAGCTCTGCCTAAAGTTAAAGAAAAATAAAAAATAAAAAATCCAGGGAAGGCTGGTGGCCTGGTGGTGGTGATAACCGCTACTGCTGACCAAAACATGTCCCTCCAACCCTTCTTCTGGGGAGATGCAAGACCCTGGAAAGGAGGCGAGGGCACGGACTTTCTAAATCACACACGTCACGTGGGACGAGGCCCTCGTTTTGCAGCCAAAGGTCTGCACGCGGCTGGGAGCTCACGTCCCGCTACAGAGTAACTTTCCTCCCAAGCATCCTCCCCGCTCCCGGCGCAGGACCGCTCCCCGGGGCGCAGCGCGCACCCGTCCCCAGCCGCCCCCGCCCGCAGCAGGCGCCCCACGCGGCTGGCACGCCACGTCCAGAAGGCCTGTTCCCGCGACAGGTGCCTACCTGCCCCCCCACCCCCACCGAGACCCGCAGGGCACCCCCCCTTCCCCCGGGCCTGAGGAGTGTATGGAGGTGGAGGGGTATTCTCTGCCAACCCCCCCCCTCCCCCAAAAGACTTGGAAGGCGATTCGTGGCCAGAACTGGGAGGGGAGTCCCGAGACCTGTGCTCCCGAGTGACCGTGGGCAAGTCACTTCCCAACTCCAGACCGGCTTCCTGCTTGGGGGGCGGCTGCTGTACCCCAAACCCCCCAGAGTTGTGCAATCCCTGGATCTTCTCGGGGCAGCCCCCGCCCCGGCGAGACCCCAGCCTTTTGTTCTGGGGGTGACACTGGGAAGAGAGAGAGGAAGGGGGCTCCGGAGAGGGCCCGCCGGGCGGCCTGGGCGCTCGGGGCCGCTCCCCGGAGATCCGGGTCCGGGAGTAACCAGGCGAGCCCGCGGTGACCTCCCTCCTCCGGGTCCCGTTACCCCGGCCGGCCGGCAGGCTCCGGCAGCGGGTGGCAGCTCCGGGCAGCGCGGCGCCCCGACGCTGACGGCCGCGGGCAAGGTCCCCGGACACCGCACAGGAGCCGCATCCCGGCCCCGCCCGGGTCACTCCGCTCTGGGACGGCCCGAGCGGCCGCCGCCAGGGCCGGTCCCCCACCCTCATTCACGGACCCAGACGTGCGCGGAGCCGCTACCTACCGCGGGGGCCGGGCAGGATTCGGGCTCCGGTTGCCGTTCCAGCTGCCGCCGCCAGGCTCCGCGCTCGGGGCTCCCGGCTCCGCGCTCCGCGCTCCGGGCTCCGGGCTCCGGGCTCCGCGCTCCGGGCTCCGGGCTCCCGGCTCCGCGCTCCGGGCTCCGGGCTCCGGGCTCGGGGCTCGGGGCTCGGCGCTCCCTTCGCAGCGCCCAGCTCCCAGCGCCCAGCTCCCTTCGCTGCTGGGCCCGCTGCTCCCGGTGCTGCGCTCGGAGCGCCCCGCTCGCTCCCCGGCCGCCGGCTGTGGCGCTGCCCCCACCTGCTCCGCGCCGGGACGGAGGCCTCGCTCGGGAGCAGTGGGCGGGGTCTCCGGGGCTGGTGGGCGGGGTCTCAGGGGGTGGGGCGTGGTCTCCGGGCGGAGGGGCGGGTCCAGCCTCGGGGTGCGCCTAGGAGGGGAGACCTGAGCCTGAGCCTGAGCCCTGAGAGGGGGCGTGGGACGGGCTGCAGGGCAGGAGACACGGGGCCCAGCGCCGCCACCCGGGGACATTGCCCTCCGTGGATTCATCCCTAAGCGTTCTGCACCCTTCCTATGCGCCGGGCGGTGTCATGAGAGGTGGGGGCTGCAGAGGACAAGGTCGCTCTGGCCCTGACAGAGCTCTGAATGCCACTGAACTGTACACTTCAGTGTAGTGAGAAGAGTACATGTTGTGCTACGAATATTGCATCACAATAACAACAATAAAAAGATACAACCTTAGAGGGATTTGAAGGCACAGGGGAATGGGCCCACCCTCCATAAAGGCTGCCCCCCCGCCACGGGCTGGGTGGGTGCTGCCTGTCAGACAGAATTCAGACGTGGGCCTTTAGTGCAAGGCTCTGCACAGGGGAGGGACCGCCCCTACTGCTGAGGGTAGAGCTGAGAGGCATGGCATTCCATCCATTAACATCATGCGGGGAGACTCCTGCGGGTTCCCCGGATGGTTCTGAAAGGGCTCCCTGAGCCGGTGGGAACAGGCATTGCTAGCTAAACAGCTGCGCCGTGGGAAGGAGCTAGTTCATGCAGCTGGACACCATCAGGCTGCCTCCAAAAACTCTCCAGTTCCAAACTGTGCCACAACCCCCAAAAGGTCGAGATCTACCTCCTTCACCCCAGAGTGAGAAGAGAGAAAGGCTGAGGCCGATGGAGAACACAGGACTGTATTGAGCAGGCAGGGACGGAGGAGCCCACCCAGGAAGGAAGTGGGAGAGAAGGAAGGAGAGGGAGAGAAGCCTGGAGAGAGAGGGCTGCTCAACAGTGTCAGCTGCAGGCAGGTCCCGCCGTCCCTGTGGTCAGTGGAGGAGGCCTGGCGAGGCCTCAGCCTCCTGGGCTGAAGGACAGGGGCTGAGGGAGTGGAGACCATACTTTGAATGTGCATTATTTTTTTCAAAACCCCCGACCAAGAAAAGATAGATAGAATCATGTCTAGAAGAAGACAAAGAGTCAATGTGAGCATAAATAAGTCATGTTTAAAAAAACAGTTTAGACAGCTGCCATTTTGGATTGCATGACTTGGCAGCCCCATGTTGGCCTCATGGCTTGCAGTTCCCCTTGGGGCCACCATCTTGAAACAGCAAAGGCCAAACCCTCCCTTTGGATTAGCCAATCGCAAAAGACTGTGCGCCTGAGCTCCAATCAAGTGCAAAGGACAAGTCATGTGCATCAGGGATTCTAAACCAGAGCAGACAGTCTGCTCGGTGTGCATGTGCTTCCAGACCATGTGTGTGCACCCTCCGACATAGAAGTAAAGATATTTGCCTTGCTGCCTGGCTCCTGATTTGTGTTCTACCAGGACCCCTGACTTGGGGGGTTCGCCTTATTTCTAACAGTCAAGGAAGGGTAGAGACCCTACCGTGTTGAAGGTTAAGAGAAAAGAGCCAGTGCAAGAAAGGGTTTCAAAATTTAGGACATCGAGGGAGTTGAAAGTGCAGCAAGGAATTCTCTGAAATGCCCCTTAGACCTGTTCTTTGAGACACTGACAAGGGTTTGCTGAACAATGTTTTGCGGTCTCAAAATCTTTGATCCTTCTAAATAAATGACATAACATAGTATTAAAACCTTGATCGTGGAGATTTAAGCTGTCATCAATGAGCATATGATTTTCACTCTTTCAGTAGCTCGTTAGAGCCGTAAGATCTTCATTCTTTCATCTACAAGACAGCTGCAACGATTTCTGCTATGCCTCAGATCATTGTAGAATACCAACAGGCGAATTCTATGAAATTCCTAAAATGGAAAGCACTTAGTTTTACTAATAAGGGACACAGAAATGTAGGAAACAAGACTGTACCACATTTTGGATTAATCTGCACTTACTGAAAACAACAACGGAAAGAAAGTTATTATTCAAAATGAGAAACGTTACTGATAACTGTTTTCCACTTTACCAACGTTCTTGTGCTTTTTTCAGAGTATTTCCCTTATCCACACAACGGTCACCTCCCTTTGCACTGTGGGTAAAAGGGACAGTCCCTGTGGTGTAGGAAGAAGAGGTTGATGGACCTGGGTCCCGCCTCACTTCTATTCAGGTGTGTCACATTTCTTTTTTTAAATACATTTTATTGATTTTTTTATAGAGAGGAAAACAGAGGGATAGAGCAAAACATCGATGAGAGAGAATCATCGACCAGCTGCCTCTTACATACCCCCTACTGGGATGTGCCTGCAACCAAGGTACATGCCCTTGACCGGAACTGAACCCGGGACCTTTCAGTCTGCAGGCCGACGCTCTATCCACTGAGCCAAACCAGTTTTGGCACATTTCTCAAGTTAGTTTTCTTCACCTGGCTTTTTCTGGACTCTTCTGTAACCAATATGGCCCATTAGCCACAAGGCCAACTGCTTTCTGCTTCTTTGTTGAAATCATTGTTTATCATCACCCTTGTTGGGTTATCACCATATTTGAGATGATGAAGTGGAAGCTCTGAAGTTAATGAGCTTGCGAATGCCTCAAGGCCGGTAAGGGGCAGAATTGGCAATGATGCCATGGCATGCGATTCTCCTCTCACTGCCCAGCACAGTGCCGGGAGCAGGCACATTGGTTGAATGCACAACTGGCTGGGTGACTCATCACCACCTCAGCTTAGTGGTGCCAGTGCAGCCTCCATCCGGTAAGAGCTATGGTGCCATAGCAGAAGCTTCTAAAAATGAAATCTATCTTTCTTCCAGATTGCTTGTTTCTGTTAGTGGCACCAGCACTCGCTGATTCAGTGAAGCAAAACCTCAGGTCATCCTAACCTTCTCCCTGACTTCTACCAGTGTCGTCTGGTCCATCACAAAACCCTATCCGTTCTGCCTTCTCACCCCCTTCTTTTGCTGGTTGTTCCCCATTGTTGCTGCTTTAGTTCAGGCCTGGTCCACTGCCATCATCTCCAAACTGGTGTGTCTGGCTCCGGTGTCCTACCCACTCCTGCCAACTGTTCTCTACTCTGCATCCATAGTGATCTTCCTACAGTGAAAATTTAATCAACTCGCTGCTTAAAATCCTTCCAACGGTCTCGTTTGATCTCCAGATAAACCCTAAATAACTTAGTGTGCTTATAAAGCCATTCAACATGTGCTTATAAAGCCTCCCCACCCCCCACTTAATCTTCCATGTCTCATCTTCCTCTCCATATTACACTGTGCTGCAGCTACGCCCACAGGACTGGGGACCCAAGCCATTCCCTGTCTTAGAATACCTTTCTCTCCTTGTTCCCGAGAGAACTCCTCCTCAGCTTTCAGTACCAAGGCACCATTCTCTGGGAGAGCTCTCTGAGCCCGTAAGGAACCCAGGGCCCTCTTCTGAATATGTAGCGCCCTCCTCCACTACTTGTAGCACTTCAGGCCTGGTGTCACAGCTACGAGCTTATCTGCCAATACAGCAGACCCCCTTATTCATCGTTCCATTTTCTGGGGTTTCAGTTAACTGTGGCCAGCTGCAGTCCAAAATATTAAATGGAAAATCCAGAAATAAACAATCCATACCTTTTAAATTGCAACCTGTTCTGAGAACCTTTCCTCCCCTCATCTCATCACACAGGCACTGTGTCATCTCACATCGTCAAAGAAGAATGGCCAAGACAGTACACCAAGATATTTTGAGAGAGAAAGAAACTACATTCATGTAACTCTTATTACAGTGTGTGTGTGTGTGTGTGTGTGTGTGTATATTAATATATACATATACACCAAGCGACTGAATGACAGAATGACCGTAATGACCAGTTGCTATGATGTGTACTGGGACAGCCAACTGGCCCAATTAGGGCCCCTTTTGGTCTCCCCTCAAACTCCCATGGCCCCTCCCTCTGTCAGGCACAGCCCCTGATCATCTCCTCCTCCACTTCAATCAGGGTGGAGCCGGCTGGCTAACCTCCCGTGGCCCCTTCCCCACCCTGCCGGCCATGCCTCCATTGACCTCCATCAGGGCAGGCCGCCAGACCCCACTGATGCATAAATTCATGCATTGGGCCTCTAGTGTTGTTATAATTGTTATATTTTATTATAGTTATTATTCATCTCTTGCTGTGCCTAACTTATAAATTAAACTTTATCATAAGGATGTATGTAAAGGAAAAACATAAAATATAGCACTTAGCACTATCCATGGTTTCAGGCATCCACAGGGGTCTTATGACTTATCCCCCATGGATAAGGGGGACTACTGTGTCCTCACGGGTAGAAATGGTGTCATTGTCTCAGTACCACAAGCACCTAGCACGGTTGGTGTCATACAGGAATTAGCATTCAATGTATTTAATTGATTAAAAATTAACTGAAAATCTTCAGCCCTCTTTTTCTCATCTGTCCAGGAAAAATTCTGCTTAGAGGTGAGAAGGCAGGAAAAGTGGATATTTTACTTTTCTCTTGGTGAGAAAGGACTTCGCCTGACCCTGAAATCACAGAGCAGTTTGGAACAGAGTGATAGAGTAAGAAAGACAGCTTCTGAGCAAGTCCTGAGTCAGATCTCAACTTTGCAGCTTTGTTATCTTATTTAAAGGGATGCCAACTTCTGAACAGCCACACACATTTCAACTGTTTAAAAAAAAAAGTAGCTCAAGGTTAAATAGATATGCTTTGAATGTTTCTGCCAATTTGGATGGGTTGTGTTCATACTGTCTGAACAG